TGATCGGCGGGAGGGGCGGTTCGCTTTTTTGCGCCTGGTCGCCCTCTCATTGCAGCTAAAGGGCGGCGAAGAATTGTGTGCGCTTTCCTTTTCTTATTAATTAAAACGGTCGTATTGAAAAACGAAGGGACGGGAAAAGGTTTCAATTTGTTGTGGCTTCTTTTTTCCTCTTTTTCCGTCGACGAATTTCGGCTGAGCCGCTGCGGCGGTTAGTCGCGAATTTCTTCGGGGGGCGAAAGCTTTTGTTATGTTGTTCCTGTTTGACCTTGTTCCTGATGCTTGATCATGCAGCCACACCTTTTTTTCGGTGTGCCGAGAACGGGTTCTGTGCGGGTGTGACGGGTTGCGAAAGTCGGCAGTCTGCGCCCTGCATTTAATTTTTTTTTGTATTTCATGCAACTTCTACGTTTTATACACTGCTCCTCACTCTATGATAAATGCTGTTTTCTATCAAATTTTCCTAGTAGCATCTACTTTTTATTATTAAAAACTAAAATTAAAATTTTTGCCTCAAAAGTATCCAACTTCAAATTTAATGTATCATGTGTAATATTGGGCCAATTAGACAGTTCTATATCTCATTTTACAGACCATTCCTTCTATTTTTAGCATTCTTGATGCGTCTACAATCACTTATATATCTACCTCAAAAATCGTTCAAAAAATTTGGGATTGATTTGATGTTGAAGGGTAATATAAAAGGTGCCGGCATCGCAAATTGAGCTATTTCTCGGCAAAACCACCACTACGCCCTCCTTTTACAAGGTCTCTTATTACTATTAAACACTAAAACAGTAACTTTACAGGACATTTTCTCCATAAAAAAAGCACTAATATGAAGATTTCTGGACTTTTTGATTTTTCCTCTTATTTATTCGATTTTCGCCAACTTTATCCCGTCGTATCTCCCACAGCCCTTTGCGTAATCTAGGATATGAATTTCTCTCCCTTTCCATGAACCACTTCTGGCAGAACACACCCAAAAATGCCTGTTTACACCGCCAAATGTAACTTTCTCCCTTCCCCAATTGCAGCACATAACCAGAGAGCAGCAAGCGCGAGATTGATGGGCCTTATAAAGGCGCCTCAATTCTGTTTTGGTTCCCCCGATACCGTAGGCAACAGCGTCTTACTCAGAAGCGGGAGAGAGAGATTGTAAACTGCTCTTTTGCGGGTCTGTCGGGTTCTTGATGTCGTTGCTTGAAGCGGAATTTGCGTGCGTTGCGAAGCGCTTGCTGTGGACGAGGCTGGGCGGAATGTGAGACAAATTAAGAGTAGAATTTAATTGACTATTTACGATATTACGTCTTTTTTGAGGAATTTTCAGCACCCGGTTTGCAACGGGCTTTGAGATTTTTTTGTATAAAGCTGATTGAAAACTAGTAAGCTTTCTACTCCGTGGTTTATGAAGGTCTTTGGCGCCTTTGGTGCTACGACTTTTTGGCTAGCGACTGTTCAACGATACTATGGAGCGCCTCGGTTTGTTGTTGTATGCATGGGGAGGCTTGCAGAAGGCTTATTGTTAGTTAGTAGAAATAATAAGATTTTTAGGGTCCTAGGAGAACTTATCATCTTTTTTGAGGCATCTCTCATGTTCTAACATCCATAATATCTAGATAAAACTTATGAATCTTAGTTTTTTCTCCGAAATTTTGGTTTTTTATTTTTTATAATAAATCGGGGTAACGATAACTAACCTTAGTAACAGCTAAAATTACAAAAAGTTTACATATTGCAAGTCCTCGCCAAGTCTCCGCCGAGCCTTCCCAGCGATCTCTAGATCGTTATGCACAGTTTTTTCTCGTTGTACAAAGACTCAACTATATAGTTCAACTGCATTTTGGGACTCTATCAGTCTGTCGGGAAAATAGTGAGCACAGTTTCGCAGGGGAAATCGCTACGCCGCTGGAAAAAAAGATTGTGTTGCGACAAGATCAAATTGCTTCTCTCTGCAGCGAGCGATCGGCAACACCACATTGTGCTCATTATTTTCCCGTCAGACTGAAATCCGATGGTATGTTTGCTGGCGTATTTTAAAATTTTTGAAAATTGCAATTGTAAGCCTATTTAACAAAACCTCTTTCCTTGCATACGCAGTTCGTGAACAATGTCTATTTGTCGGGAAAATAATGAGCATAATGTCGGCCGCTGAATTGAAAAAGCAATATGATTACAATTCATTTTCTCGGCGGCGTTGCGATTTTCGCTGCGACCGAGAGTGCTCATTATTTTCCCGACAAACTAACAGGGGAAGTACTCCAAGTGCGACGCTCAGATTTTCTTTAAATTTTGCACACACGTCGGGTATGGACTAAATATCAATTCCTGAAAGTTTTAGCTCGCGCTTTGCGGGCGCCGCTGAGATATCGAACGATTTTTGCCGCCGAGAGAGCACGCTAAACGTGGGGAGCGGGCAGAGAGAAAACACCTTTTTGGCCATAACTTTGGCAGTTTCGTGCGGAAAATTTTGATTTTTTGCAGAAACATTATCCTTTACAGTAGGAACAGGCACGAAACTTTTTGTGCCGAAATTCGGCAAAAAGTCCAAAATTTTCGCCGACTTTCGATCTAAAAATCTCGGTTGTTTCTGCAAAGCGCGAGCTAGGATTCTCGCATATATCTTAGAAAAAATTATTCTAAATTTGTGCCAAGTTTCATCAAAATCTGAGCGTCGCACTTGGAGTACTTCCCCTGTAAGAAGTGATTTCTGGGCTAAAAATCTCGAGTAAATCTGTAAAAAGAACCAGTTTTATGGGGCAAATACCTTCAAGCTTTTTTTGTAGACTAGCTTTTTGCTTTCCCCCCTCTCTGATCTGATTTGATCTGTAGGTCACAACGAAAGGGCGTAAAAAAATTGTAAAATTCGACCAACTGACGAACGCATGACCACTAGTTTGACGTGGGTTGCCGCTACGGTAAACGCTGACCTTGTTGTTTCAAATCACACTCGCAAAACAATAACACAAAAACAGGCCGCTCCCCGTTGACAAATGCGTTTGCTAATCTCGGCGGCGGGCATTCAGCAAATTTGAAGCAATGGGGAGTGGGGTGGATTGCGCAATTCGCGAAAAATTTGGGGAATTCGGTTTTTTAATTCCCGCTCTCCCACCACTCGTCGGAATCTCAGTCACGCAGCGGTGAGTATAACAATATAATCTATTAACGGTTGTAATAAGTTAATTCGGGGGGTCGCGGAAATTTATTTAGTTTGCTGTCTACAGTAGTTTGGTGGTATGTTTTGTGCGAACAGAGCGGCGAGTTTTGAGTGTTTTGGCCCAACTGTTTTGAAATGAGACAATCGGACCGGTTTCGGTTGAATTGTGACTTCCAGCAGATGGATGGTTTTTTAATGGGACTGGCCGAAGTTGACCAAGTTTTTTGGGGAAAATACTCAATGTAAAAGCCTTATATGGGCTTCAATTTTTAACAGAAATTTCCTCTACAGCCCAGCGTTCGCTACTAGGCGGGCCAAAAAGCCTGGACATGTTTGCAACGCGCGCCGTCGCCCAAAAGTCTTGTCGCAAAACCGCCCAAAGATCTGATCTTGGGGCAAAACTCACGGCGCGCCCCGACCGCGCACAGTGCGAAAGTGTTTGCTTTGAAAAAGGCAATCTAGACATGGCTGGGGGCCGGGCCAGAAGTGGTCGGCCCGGCCCCGGGACCTTCAAAACTCGTTCGGCCCGGCCCAACCCGGCCCCCCGGGGGGCTGGGCCGGGCCGGCCCGCCCACTAGCCATGTCTAGGCCAATTAAAGCACAATGCGCTCTTTTTTCGCACCTAATTTTTATCGCGCGACGCCTCGTCGCAACGCCGCATGCATGCGCTCGCACAGTGCGAAAACATGTGAAGACTTTCGGCGCGCTTAGTATTACTATGCCTTTCAAAAGTGCATAGTCTTTTTGTCGCACTGCGCATTTGACCTCTTGCACTGTGCAGTATAAAAATTTAGATTTTTCAACTGATTGCACGGTGCAAAAAGTTTACAACAAGACACTTTTTTTCGCTTTCACATAGTTTTCAGAGTGTGATATTAATATTGATTTTTTTCTTTAAAAATTTTTTGTTTTTACTGCTATAGTCTATTCGCAGCGTCGCTCGAGTGAGTTTCGCGACATGCACTACTAGTCGTTCCAGAAAGTGCGTAGACTTTTTTCTGCCTTTTTTTGGACCGCACAGTGCAAGTTTCCTGTTTCCCACGCGACGCGATCCTTTTTGAAATTGCACTGTGCAATTTCAAAAAAGTCGCGCCGGCTCCCTTGACAAAAGCTTGCATCGCAGCGATAGTGCACTTGCATGGTGCAAAAGGTCAAATGCACCCCGCAAAAAGGGAATTTTGTGCACAGTGCGGACCGCGACAAAAAGTCTACGCACGTTCTGGAACGACTAGTATGCGAAAAAAACTTCCTTCATCTGTCCAATTTTTTGCTTTTTGCACCGTGCAATAGGCTGTTTTGGGCTGTCGCTAGCACCCTGACCTCTTCTGCACAGTGCAAAAAATCAGTCCAGCGTCTTTACAAACTTTCAATTACATACACAAAGTACAAATCCACAACCAATTTTTGCGATTACGCCATACCTGCCACACTTCTCATCATCTACCATCCCATTTCCAAGCCTACAACAATCCACACCGTCAATCAAACATCATGACATAGGCCCACATTTACGGGGCGCACATCAGAATCTAGTCGAAGGGAAAAAAGTTGCACTTCTCCGCAGCCGCCAATTACCCGCCTGAAGCTATTACATTTTCTTGACGTAAATTACATTTCGCGTACATTACGCTTACATCCCGAGTTAATTGCGGGGTGGGGCGCGCGCTATAAAGGGCCCGCAATTTTTGTGGCATCGACATTGAGCTACTGTGCCCTCTCCGGCTCTGCCACTTGCTATATTACGTCTTCTAGCGGGCTAAAGACTACTGTAAACTTGGTTATTTTTCTCTACTGTGACTATTAAAATTTTTGTAAAGCAACACTGTAGCTAATGGGTACTGTAAAAATGAATGTAGAGCAGTGCGCGTTAACGCTGCTGGAAGAGAATTTCAAGCATGCCATGGAGGAGGCTGTAAGGGACTACTATTTGGTAGGGATATTTTTATTTTTTATACTGTAGACGAAATGTCACTATCGATTTTTTAAGGTTTTTTTAATATTGAATTATTCTTTGGGCATTTTCAGTTGTGACGAAATGTCAATATTGATTTTTCTTAAATTTGTCGGAAAAATAATAAGCTGAATGCCGCTGAGCCAATGACGTCATTGAAATCGATTTTTTAAGATTTTTTTTCAATATTGAATTAGTATTTGGGCATTTTCAGTTGTGACGAAATGTCAATATCGATTTTTTTTTAAATCTGTCGGGAAAATAATGAGAACTTTGTCGCTGCGCCAATCTCGTCGCTGAAGTGAAAAGCAATTTGATTTTGTCGCGAAAAAAATCATTTTTTCTCCCGCGATTTTCCCTGCGACAGGAAGCTCATTATTTTCCCGACAAAATGATATATTGTTTTTGTTCTATTTCTAATTCTTTATCGCTATTTTCCTCTCGTTTTGATGTGGTAATCGTGCTCTATACCCCTTTTTTGAACACCACTTTCCTCTTCTTTTCCATACCTTCCAATTTCCAGATGGCCGACAACGACATTCGATTTACCCCCTCAAGCTCAAATTCCCCACATCCGCCGCTCCTGGAGCCCGAACTTTTGTCGGCAAAATCGCCGGAAAAGTCCAAGTCACCGAGTGTTCGGCGACGGGGCAAGGCGAGGATTTACAACGAGGTGGCCCGATGCTACACGGAAGACGAGGTGGACGCGCATAGTAAAGGATGGAGAAAGTAAGGCAAATTTTTTGGAGGTGGTTGAGCTTTATATATCCTCTAATAATGATGATTAGACATAGTTTTTACTATGAAGATGATACATAGTAAAATTAGCTATATAGTTTAAAAAAGTTTTCGTCCAGTGGGAGTCGAACCCTCGACCATCTGACTGATAAGCTCTCTAAATCACTACCACTGCGCTATTCGGACACATCGCCGATTTTGACGGTTTTTGCGAATTTCCAACCCTTGCTCACAAAATTCAAACTTTGAAGGGTGTGTTCAGTTTGAGTTTTGTGCAAAATTCCCTCGAAAATCCCGACCCGTTACGTGCGAAAGCCTCACTCGCTTCGGCGCCCAATTCTTTTGCACTTTAAGGGATCGCCCGGAGCGAAAATCCAATCTTGATTTTGCTGTAGAGAACAGAAATAGGATTCTTCGGCGAATGTCGAGAGGACGTGTCAACCAATCTTTGAGGCATTTCGAAGAGAAAAAGCTGCTGGTGAAAGAAGAAGGAAAAAGGTTAAAAACACTTTTCGAAATTTGCTGCCAACTTCCGTAAAATGCATGTGAGGCGTTGTGAAGAGAGTATAATGATTTTTCAGCCCAGAATTCACGTTTTTCTCAAAAAAAAGTCAACTTTTTCTCACGAACTTGGCAAAAATACGGTCAAAAGGAATATTTTCCCCACCGTTTTTCATGATTTGTCATTTTCTCTTGACCTTGCCCGCAAACATCATAAAGTATCGCTCTAAAGGAACGTTCACGGGTTCGTTGCTAAGATCCTCAGTCTGTCGGGAAAATAATGAGCACCCTGTCGCATCGAAAATCGCATCGCCGCCAAGGGAAAATGAATTGTATCGCGGCAAAATCAAACTGCTTTGATTTCTGCGACGCGATTGACGCAGCGACAAAGTGCTCATTATTTTTCCGACAGACTACTAAAAAATCAGGAAAAATTAGAATAAAATATGTGTAGACTATCTTGAACAATCTCGTTTGCAGGTTTTATCGGCTATAACAAGATTTTCTATTGTTGGCGTTAGACCAAAATTTGGATAAGCTTGATTCTTCCCTATAAAAGTCAGGGATCTCGTCATTTCTAATCATTTTTCTATCCCCGTTCGGTGTGCGAATAAACCATCTTTCTCTGCTGTCAGTCGTCTCATCTTACCGGTCGATCAAGCCGGCCGATTTCCTCCTCTCCCCTGGTCTGCCAGTTTATGGGGGCTCAGCCGGTGGGACTTTTTTGCTTTCCCTCCAACTCCTGAGCCCACAGGTCGCGTTTGCTAAGACCTATCCGTCTCCAACATCCATCTGTCTGTCGGGAAAATAGTGGCGTTCATTGGCAAAATGTTGCGACTCGTCCAAAAAAGGGGGCAACCAAATTGCCAGCTGCAACTACCCGTCTCAAAGCGGAAAAAATTCCAGGACAAAGACCTGCCATTATCATCCCAACAGACTGATAAATCACCGCCTCTATAACAACTCCCGTTGCGGCATCCATTTCGCGGTTCCCTTGCCCTTTTGCGCCACTTCTCGCGTATCGTTCCCGCCTGCGCTTGCGTCGTGTCTGGCGCAAGACCCCCGTCGACGAAACTGCAGCAGAAACCCAGTTTTTTATGCGTGCGCAAAGTTGCACTCTTCGGATAATCGGCGTCGCGGATCGCGCGCAAAATAATGAGCACAATATCGCTGCATCGCAAGTGAAATGTAATTTGATTTTGTCGCCACACAATTCATTTTTTCTCGGCGGCGATGAGATTTTCGATGCGACAAGTTGCCCATTATTTTCCCGACAGACTGATGGATTTACAGGGGTGGTTCTCGAACTGCGACGTTTTAATTTTACCAAAACTTGAAACAAATTTATACTGATTTTCTTGAGAAAAATGTGGATATTGTCAGCTCATACTGGGCCTAAACTTGCCAAAAAATGCAGGGTGCGAAAAGTCGCAAAATAATGAGTGAAATGCACTGTGGAACATGTGGCTTTTCGCCACACCACAAAAAGTCTATGGACTGTATGAAAATTTAAGTCTGCCGGGAAAATAATGAGCACTCTGTCACGTCCAAAATCGCATCACCATCTCGAAAAATATAAATGATAAATTGTGACAAAATCAAATTGCTTTTCACTTCAGCGACGCGATTGACGCAGCGTCATGCTCATTATTTTCCCGACGGACTGATACTATTACACGCTCGAAATTCGGCGAACATTCTAGCCTCGCTTTTCACCAAATTCCTCTTTTAATTCCGACTGTAATAGTAACCCATTTCAACCACAAAAACGGTTATGAAATTCGAATGCACTTTGTTCGTTCATTGTCCACATTCCAGCCATTTTTCGCGCCCCAATCACCCTCTATTACATTATGTTTCGCTGCGCAGGTGAGTGTGTGTCGAACTCCAAACGTGTTTCATGACTCAGCCTTCGGATTCACGGTTTTTGCGACACTCTTTGTGACGGAGGTAATCTACGTCATCGCTAATAAGCGGTTGCTTCATTTTGAAGAATTCTGCGTGTTTCTGACGTCTTACGGCGTAAAAAATGTCAAAAAACTTGACGTAGCGGTACAAAGTATTCTTTGATGTGCATATTATCAGTCTGTCGGGAAAATAGTGAGTGGGCGTCGCTGCAAAATGTTTGGCCTTGTGGGAAAAAGGGTGTAGTCGAGCACCGAACTTCTAGCTTCGGCTAGCCGTCGCAGAGCGACAATAGGCGACTCCAAGGCGCGACAACCCGCCACTATTTTCCTGACAGACAGATATATGCTATCCGAAGACTTTGGGCTTCGTTTTTTGGCCTAATAGATTGCCCATGAAGCATCGCAACACTTACGGGTAACCACTTTTCGAGCAGCCGGATTTACCCATTAGAATTACGATTTTCCCCCCATAATCTGCGCAGTACGATAGAAATTTTGCGTTGGCAACTCCCTGATACAGATGAGTATACGAATCTATTGAATTCATCCACTGCTTTAAAATATATGGTGGTTTATTTTCAAAAAATGGCTTTTGAACTTTAAAAAATTCCTGGTTAACCTTATGGTGACTATTCAAGCCACTTATACACCTGAAAACTTAATTCGCAAGAGCTAACTGCTAGATCCACCGTTAGAATTTCCAGTTATAAGAAAATGTTGGCTGATTTCCAAACATTCCCTCACAATCTCCATGATTCTTCTAACAGCCCGCAAAGTGGTTGCCCGCAAGTGTGGCCTCTGTTTTTTGCCTCCTAAATCGTCCATGAAAGCTGATTTTTCGGCCTCTTATATAGCGCCCCAACTCGAACTCTGTTTGCACTACTATACCCACAGTATACTTGTTTATAACTCCGCCAATTAACCTTGACCTTCGTTTAGTTATCCATCCGCTTGCTTTGTCATTCTGTTTACTGTACAGTAAGGAGTTCCAAGCAAACGAGTGTTTCGCTGCTGGAATTACGCGGTCACATGCCGCTATTTATAATTATTTTTAGATAGTTAGTAACGTCAGCTCGGAGTGTAAAGTACGTGTATACTGTACATGGAGAGAAAAGTGTCTGTCTTGATAGAGTTTTTTTACAAAACGTGGGGTGTTCTTCAAATTGATATGTTGGGGCATATCTGGGCCATAGTTTATTGTAATTGCAGTTGTCAGCTATCTTTTTTTGGCTATAGTTATCTTTTCAAATCGCACGTGAAAAGCCGTATTTTTCACAGAGACGTTGTACACGTCATGCCCTCAACAAAATACCCGTCTACAACCCTAGTACTCCCCGATTTTTTTGGCAAGTTTAGGCCCAGCACGAGCTGGCGATGTCCACATTTTCCCTGAGAAAAATCAGTCTAAATTTGTCTCTAATTTTAGCAAAATTAGATCGTCGCATTTCGAGAATTGCCTTTGAAAATCCAGCAGTCTGTCGGGAAGATAATGAGCAACTTGTCGCAGCGAAAATCGCATCGCCGCCGAGAAAAAATGTATTGTATCGCGACAAAATCAAATTGCTTTTATTGCTGTTCACTTGTGTTGCTGCCATTATTTTTCAGGTTGATAAAAAAGGCTTTGCTCGGGATCAAAAATACCATGTACTATATAACAACCAACTATTATATAATATGTCCTTCCTTGTTCTTTCTAAACCCGATAATTCCAGACTCCGCACCCGCAATCTGTCGCGCAAAGGCCAAGTCCGTGAGTTCGAGTGCCCCCTGTCACGCCGCCACACCAAATGTCGGATGGGCATGCGAATAGAGACGCATCTGAACGAGGCGGACGGCAAACTCGTCCACATCGTCTACCACACCAGCGACACGGCCCACAACCATCTGGAAGACATCCCACCGCCCATCGACTCCATCAAACTCGAGGCCAACCAGCCCGGCCCTCCGACGCTGACGCCGAATCTGTCGAATCTGGCGGCGTTGCAGGAGCGCGCCGCGTCCGCGGAGCACAACGGCTCCACGCCGTGCTTGAGTGAGGATTCGGTGATGTCGACGGAGAATGCGACGCTGATGAACCAACTGAATAACATGGGAGTGAACGCGGCGCTGATTGCAATGGACGAGCAGAGGAATTGGGTCACCGAGTACTTGAAACGACGGTGGAATGAGATGAGTCAGGAGAGCAGGAGCATTATTGTGGTAAGTGAAGAATATGGGGGTGTCGGGAGGCCCGGGAGACAAACCACACGTAAGACAAGAACTCGAGTTCAAGTGATTTATTGAGTGAAAAGCGGGCCTTATACAGTGCGCGCCAAAATGATAGAGCCACTCATTTTTCCTGGATTTATTCTTTTATGGTTAGGTGGGCCAAGCCGGCATAATGCGTATATGCAATAACATGATAGACCTGTACTACGGCTACCATAACTTAGGACTAGCCTAGCGCCCAATCCAAAAAAAAATCCAAAATTCGGACCTTCCCCCTCGGTCGACGCGTCAAAATGATAGAGCCACCAAATTTTTCTCCTCGGTGATGGCAGGCGAGGATCTATTGGTACTGTAGTTTGTTAATATTACTACTGATATTCACTGCTGATGTGAAAAGGTTACTGTAACTACCGGTCATACGGTAGCTTTTGGCAACTTTAGAAAATCTTCCAAATTTTGGGTAAAACTGACCGGAAATAAATTTTTCGACGGTTGTATCCGGGTGGAAATACCTTCAAAACATATTAGAAGACCTATATTTTCTAACAGTAATCAATTTCCGTTGAAATCACATCAACCGTAAACAAAGAATGATATTATATTACTTTAGCAGATAGACAGATTCTATAATAATGTCTATTGCTTATGTATGAGTCTGAGAAGCGGCCCCAGAACTTGTGGTACAATTGCAAGAGGACCATAGATTACTATAACAGGACCGAATTCAATAATTCCTTTATTCAAATTGCAAACGGTATTATGAAGTTTACCAAAGTTATAACCGAAAAAACGATATTTTGGTGGCACGACTAGTGTCAGAATATGATTGCTTCGGGTTTTGAAACGACGAGTGCGGATCTTTTTGTGCGTAACGTAGCATGATTAACTCAACAATAACGTAATGATAAGCAACTACAGAGAAGCTTTGGTGTAGTCACTTAGAGAACCAGAATTGCTTCTCTTGTGGTATTATTCCTAGGGTGTACAAGACTTTTCAGCCTTTCCAGGTTAAATGAAAATATTCTATATCGTGTGTTGCAGTCTAGCAGGAAGTTTGGTTTTTCCTCCATGCTCCCTCATTGGCATAATTGACATTATTATAGAATCTGTCTATCTGCTAAAGTAATATAATATCATTCTTTGTTTACGGTTGATGTGATTTCAACGGAAATTGATTACTGTTAGAAAATATAGGTCTTCTAATATGTTTTGAAGGTATTTCCACCCGGATACAACCGTCGAAAAATTTATTTCCGGTCAGTTTTACCCAAAATTTGGAAGATTTTCTAAAGTTGCCAAAAGCTACCGTATGACCGGTAGTTACAGTAACCTTTTCACATCAGCAGTGAATATCAGTAGTAATATTAACAAACTACAGTACCAATAGATCCTCGCCTGCCATCACCGAGGAGAAAAATTTGGTGGCTCTATCATTTTGACGCGTCGACCGAGGGGGAAGGTCCGAATTTTTGATTTTTTTTTGGATTGGGCGCTAGGCTAGTCCTAAGTTATGGTAGCCGTAGTACAGGTCTATCATGTTATTGCATATACGCATTATGCCGGCTTGGCCCACCTAACCATAAAAGAATAAATCCAGAAAAAATGAGTGGCTCTATCATTTTGGCGCGCACTGTATAGGGAAATCTCACGTAGGAAAGTACAATCAAATTTGAAAAATAAATGACGATTTCCGTGGGAATTCGGGCTCGAAGTTCGGTCGTTCCGCCTCACAGGGGGCATTTGGGATGCACATTTTTATATCAGTCTGTCGGGAAAATAGTGAGCACTGACTATGGATATTTGGATACTTAAAACCAGTAATATCATATGTAAAATGGTTTTAATGGCAAGCGCAATATTTCATATTAATTCTAAGGCCAACCTAGTATATGGTAGGAAACGAAAGATAATATTTCGTTTTTCATTGTGTCCCTATCGAAGAAAATTACCTGCTGTTTTTGACAAGGAGGTACCTCAAGTGCGACGCTGGGATTTTCTTTAAACTTTGCACACAGTACGGGTATAGGTCACACATCAACCTCTGAAAGTTTTAGCTTGCGCTTTCCAGGGGCAACCGAGAAATTCAACAATCTCTCCGGCCAGTAGAGCATGCTAAATGCGGAGGGCGGCAAAGAAAAAAAAACAAGTTTAGCTATATCTCTTTTAGCCCGTATCGTTGATTTTGTTTTGGCCTTTGAGATTCGCTGCACACATGCTATATTTTTTTGATTCCTTAGCCGCAATTTTTCAATTCAAAAAAGCTTAGTAAAAAAAATAAAAAATAAACTGACAATGAACCACAATTTTACCTCCGTATTTTTTCAGAACACGGTTCTCTTCGACGTAACGCAACAGAATCTGATTGCCCAACAGACCCCCGTCTCGATAGCGCCGTCGAATCCGCCCATCAACCTCGCCCTTCTCAACCAGTTCAATCCGCAAGTGGTGTTGGCGAACAAGAACTTATTTTTCAACTTCAACCAGTGATAACCGAGTCCCGATGAACCCGACAATCTCCAGCTTTCATATTTGCAGGGGAAGTGCGGCCAGTGCGACGCTCAGATTTCGATGAAACTTGGCACAAATTTAGAGTATTTTTTTCGACGATATATGAGAGATTTCTAGCTCGCGGTTTGCAGAAATAACCGAAATTTTTGGATCGAAAATTGGCGGAAATGTCGCACATAAAATGCGAAACTTTTTGGCCAGCTTTGACATGAAATTTTTTATACCTATTTCTACCGTATAGGGTAATTTTTCCACAAAAAAATTAATTTTTGTCCATGAAAAACTCGCAAAGATACGGCCAAAAGGCGTTTTTCTCTCTGACCGCCCTCCGCATTTTGCGCACTCTCTCGGCGAAAAAATCGTTGAATATCTAGCGTCTGCACAGCGCGAGCTAAAACTTAGAGGCGTTGATATGCGAGCCATGCCTGAGCTGTGCCTAAAATTTCAAGAAAATCTGAGCGTCGCACTTCGAACACTTCCCTTTTCAGCCCCGTTTTTTCCCATTTTTCTGTATTTTTCTCATTTTGCGGATTTTCGAAAAATTTGCTTATTTTTCTGCAAAAATTTTTTTTACTCATCTTTTTATTTGGAAATACGTTGGTTACGTATTTCCAAAAAACTTCCCCTCTTTCCTAATATTTGCATATTGCATCAAAAATTTGCATAATATTGTCATAGCCCATAACTAAATGTCATAATCAATGCACACTCATAACCAACCTTCTCCCCGTGATTCCATAACATTGCGTTGTCTCAAGTCAACCCCGTAACTATATTCTAATGTCATGTAAATCCCCGCATTTCCGTTGTTGTGATTATTTTTTGTTGAGCATGTTAATGGAGACATATTTAAATAGTAAAAATAGTTTCAAATTTCTAAAGCTAATCAAATAAATGAAGAGAAAATTATGGGCTTTTGAGTATATGCAGGGTGGTTCAGCTTGTCCAGTAGGGACGGCTAAGCTTTTGTGAGTCCAGAAAATGTGTCACGATGACATCGGTTTAAAAAGTGCATTGCAAAACGCTTGGGCCAAGATAGATAAAAAGCATTCTCGTAATACTGTGGCTCATTCAGAAGCCCTTCGTTTTTCTCTTTGCAAGTTCAACGATTCGGCCCTTGACCATATCATGGAGATTACCATTTTTTATAAGAATTACGATTTTCCTCCCGTAATCTACGTAGCACGATAGAAATTTTACATTGACAACTCCCTGGTACTGATCAGTGCACAAATCTATTAAATTCATCCACTGCTTTCAAAGTTATGGGAGTTTGTTTTCAAAAAATGGAAAAAATGCCTGGATAAGCTTATGATAACTTTTCAAGCCACTTATACACCTGGAAACTCAATCCGCAATATCAAATCGTCAAGCTCATCGTTTGAATTTCCAATTGTAATCAAATTTTTGCTGATTGCATAACATGTCCGCAGAATCTCCGTGGTTTTTCGAGCTGCCCGCAAAGTGGTTGCCCGCAAGTGTGGGCCCGCCGAAACCTGTCATTCAAGTTGCACATCGCAAAAGTTTTTAACTTAATTTTTTGTGAATACTCTACGAAGAATCCCCAGCCAAATACCGCTCACTATTTGTACAACATTTTAGCACGGTGTCATCGAGCCACATTTTCAGGACACACAGATTTATAAGTCTCGAGCCATAAACGCTTACATAAAACGTTTGTCAAAGCCGGAAAACCTACTGTTTTTGATCTCCAAGGAGTACAAGCCCTCGGGCAATCCGCCATTGAAATCGTTGGCCGGCAGCACTTTGAGTTTTCGATAGACTTTTCGGAAGTTGGGCAACGCCGACGTCTCCATCCAAATGATGAAATCCGCATTCTCCAGGCCTCGTCCGGTTTCGGCGTCGCCGATCTCGGCAATGTGTCGTGTCCAGTGCGGCGGCTTTGACGTCCTCTCGAAGCCCGGACATCGGGTCACATTCCCTCGGCAGGGCTTCGGGTTTCTGTATTTGCGCTCGCGGAATCGCTTGGGGATGATCTCCAGCGCCGACATCTCCACCGGGCTTTTTTCGCTGCTATTTCGGTCCACGGTGAAGAGAAGGAAGCTGTCTGAAAGTAATATTTACATAGTAAAAAATGTCGTTGTGTTGGCGACTTCAGTAAAACCGCCAAGTTTTAAATCGGCTGAGCCCCCATATACTGGCTGATCCGGGGAGAAGGGGATTTGAAGTGGGACCGACCGGTCGAAGAAGAGAAGACCAAGTAGAAACGTATTTATTTGCACCACAGCAGGAAAAAGTGATTATAAATAAAATGACCAGATCCATGGCTTTTATAGGGAATGAGCGAACTTATGCAAATTTGGGTCTAGCGTCAACACGTTGGAAGAAAAATAAAGGCATAGTAATGACATCCTATGCACTAAGTGACTTCCAGTCCTCTTTCTGACAAATACGACAGTAGAATCTTCATATCAGTCAGTCGGGAAAATATTCCGGCTGGTCGACTTCGCATTAATCTTACCATTAAACATCGAGTCAGCCACCGCTCCGCACGGCACGTACGGCTCTTTTGTTTGGTTATCCCTCTCATACGGGAAGCACTCGTCCACATTTTGAAGATCTCCTCTGAGCTGATTGTCATTCCGCGACTGCTGATATTTACGGATGTTCTGATAAAAGCCGTCAAGTCCGTAATAGAACGTGATGTCGCCCTGGAAATTGAAAAAAGTGTACAAGTCTATGCGCTGCAAAGCGTGATGATTTATATAATAAAATGTAAAAAAGATTTATAAATTACAAATATAGGATGATTTATAAAACTCGAAAAAAGTATCCCAAGCGCGACGCTCAGATTTTCTTTAAATTTTGCATGCATTCCAGGCGTAGGCCACATATCAATTACTGAAAGTTTTAGCTCGCGCTTTGCAGGCGCTAGATATTCACCGAGTACAGAATTTGTATTTTTCTCAATTAATTTTTGATCGAGACAGTCGAATTACAGCAAATTTGGAGCTTAGCGATCGATTTTGTCGCGGTTTTGATGAGAAAATGATGGAGATTTATTCGAAAGGCAAGTGCTCAAATTTTCTTTAAATTTTGCACACACATCCGAAATGGGCCACGTATTAATTCCTGAAAGTTTTAGCTCGCGCTTTGCAGCGTGAGCCGAGATATTCAACGATCTTTGCGGTCGAGAGAGTACGCAAACGGCGGAGAGCGGTCAGAGTGAAAACGCTTTTTGGCCGTATCTTTGACAGTTTTGCATGAAAAAAATAGGAGCCAAGTTTCATCAAAATCTGAGCGTCGCAGGGGAACTACTTTGCGGTAGTTCCCCTGTAAGATGATTTATAAAATTGACTCGTTTTTCTAAAGCGTTGCGATTTTTCAAAGCTCAAAAAACAGTGCCCAAAACCCACCGTGAAAGCGGCCGAAAGTTTGAATTGATGCTCACAAATGGATTCATCATTCTCGTAGCGATGAGTCCAACCGTCAGACTCCTGCTTTTTCTCACAGTCAGTGTAATCTATCACATGCTCTGTGGCTAAAAACATATCATTACAAAAGAAAAATTCAGATGTAAAACTCGAAAAATCAAATAGAAACTAACAAAACATTTCTTTTCAGGGTGTTTACTATATGTTTTTCTGTTTTTCTTTGATTTGCGGGTTCGTCAGGACGCAAGGTAATACTAGTGCGTTCGAAAAGTCGCTGGGTTGAGTTTAGCGACATGCACTGCGCAATTTCTTACTTTTTGCACCGTGCAATACTAGTCCTTCCGGAAAGTCGCCGGACGGAAATCGGCGACATGCACTGTGAGAAAAAACTCAGGGTGCGAGCGACAGCTCGGAAAAGCCTATTGCACAGTGCAAAAACCCAAGAATTGCACAGTGCAAAGTGAACTTTCGTTTTTGCGGAGTGCATGTCGCCGATTTCAGTCCGGCGACTTTCCGGAAGGACTAGTAGATTTTTTGGAGCTGTCGCTCGCACCATGAATTTTTTGCGCAGTGCGAGCGCCAAAAATCACTCCAGCGACTTTACGAATGGGCTACTGCTATTAAGAATGCTATTATCAGTCTGTCGGGTAAATAACGGCGGATCGTCGCCCCTCGGGATCGCCCATCATCGCTTTGCGACTGCAAGCTGCGGCTTGGGATTTGGTGCGCGACAGCAGCGAGGCGAGACATTTTGATGCGACGACCCGCCGTTATTTTTCCGACAAGCTGATAGAAGTGCATAGACCTTTTGCCGTGGGCCGCACCGTGCACAGAACCCCTTTTTGCGGCGTGCATTTGACTTTTTGCGCTGCGAAAGTCCAATATCGCTGCGACACGACGTTTTTTCTTGATGGAAAATTTGCGACCGCGGCAATCATTGCACAGTGCAAAAAGTGGCAGAATGAACTCTGAGCCGCGAAAAAAGTCTGCGCACTTTTTAAAAGGCATATTAGTAGTATTTTGACAAAGTGCATGGACATTTTTTTCGCCGTCGCACAGTGCACCTTGAATTTTTTCCCACGCACAGCGCGGGTCGCGACAAATGTCCATGAAACTTATAAAAATGCTATTAGTAGCTTATAATCATTTGAAGCCTTGTGTACAACAAGGCCTCGCCATTACGAATAAACTTTAATATCCGGTTCGTTGTACCGAGGTCTCCTTTTACAAAATTTCCCATCCCCTTAAACTCAACAACTCCCCATTCACCTGCCTTTCGAATTATTGTAAATCAACGTTATTCCCATGCCGAGACAAACCACCGCCGTTGCCGCTATCACCGGCAGTGCACATCGAAAGGTGAAGCTGGGTCGATAGGCTTTCAAGTTTTGTTGAAGCCAAGCGTCCGCTAAAAGTTCCATCATGAGCATTTAAGGAAAATGTTTGACTAACATAGATGTTCAGAAAAAAAAGGAAAAATATATATTGGAATAAAAGATTACATTAGTCATCACTTACAGCGAGGTTTGTTTCGCGGTCGACGCTTTTTCGGGATTCGCGGGAGATCATCCGGCATGTATGTCTGGAGGGCTCTAAAATTGTCAGGAAAGCATTTTCTGACTGCTTTACAGAGGGCTGTCGTCCAAAAAACTTGCAGCGACGACAAGCCAAGTTCACGGTAAAATGCGATGGTTTGAAAGAGGGAATGTCAAAGCCCAAGTTTTTCATTTTCTGACTATTTTAAAAATAAGTATGGGTTGAAAATTCAAAATTAGCATACGTTGCTACTCTATGGCCATCAAGCCCCTGAAAATTTTAGCTCGAGCTTTGCAGGCACAACTTTTAAGCTCGCGCTCTGCCGAGAAATTCAACGATTCGAGAATGCGCAGCTGACAGGGGAAGTACCTCAAGTGCGACGCTCAGATTTTGATGAAACTGGGCACCACTTTGGAACAATTTTTTCTAAAGTATATGCGAGAATTCTAGAACGCGCTTTGCAGAAACAACCGAGATTTTTGGATCGAAAGTCGGCGAAAATTTGAGACTTTTTGCCAGATTTTGGCACCAAAATTTTCATACTTATTTCTGCCGTAAGGTGTAATATTTCCACAAAAAATCGTTTCTTCCGCACGAGCTAGCAAAGTTATGGCCAAAGTGTTTCTCTCTCTGACCGCTCTCCGCGTTTAGTGAACTCTCTCGACGGCAAAGATCGTTCAATATCTCGGCGGCGCCTGAAAAGCGCGAGCTTAAACTTTCAGCAATAGATACTTAGTCTATGCCCGACGTGTGCGCAAAATTTCAAGAAATCTGAGCGTCGCATTTCTGGGACTTCTCTTGTGAGAAGATTTCCCACTGCAGTAAAAAACAAATTTGTTTTCTGACGGCTAGATACAAATCTGTTGGCAAATTTTACCCTTGCAATAAGCAGCTTACAGGGGAAGTACCCCGAGTGCGACGCTAAGATTTTGATGAGACTTGGCACAAATTTAGAGTAATTTGTTCTATGGTATATGAAAGATTTCTAGCTCGCGCTTTGCAGAAACAACCGAGATTTTTAGATCGAAAGTGGGCGAAAATTTAGGACTTTTTGCCGCATTTCGGCACGAAAAGTTTCATGCCTACTTATACTGTAAAGAATAATGTTTCTACAAAAAATCAAAATTTTCCGCACGAAACTGCCAAAGTTATAGCCAGAAAGCGTTTTTCTCTCTGACCGCTCTCCGCGTTTAGCGTGTTCTCTCGGCGGCAAAAATCGTTCGATATCTCGGCGGCGCCTGCAAAGCGCGAGCTAAAACTTACAGGAATTGATGTTTAGTCTATTCCCGACGTGTGTGCAAAATTTAAAGAAAATCTGAGCGTCGCACTTGGGGTACTTCCCTTGTTAATGATATAATAAATACTGCAACGCCGTTTCAAAAGTCCGTAGACTTTTTGGCGCAGGCTTCCCGCAAAAAGTCTACGCACGCTTGAAAAGGCGTAGTATGCAGCGCGTTCATTAAAAATCGCTGTCGGCATTTTTGAAGTTTTTAGCGTGCAGAAAAAGTCAGAGTGTCAGCGATAGCTCAAAAAAAGCCTATCGCACGGTGCAAAAAGCAAAACATTGCACAGTGCAAAGCGAACTTTTGTTTTTGCACAGTTTATGTCGCTGAAATGGCTCCAGCGACGTTGCAAGCAAACTACTAAACCCTCAACACTCAAATTTCCTAAAATGAGAGTAAATTTCATAAAAGAAAAATTTACAAAGCAAAAACCAAAAAACCCAGGTGTATTTCCCACTCGCATAAAACTTGACGCCATAAAAGTCGAGAAGATAATTTCACAAAACCCATAGCAACCATGCCTTTTTCAAAGAGATTTCTCTCTTTTCTCGCCCAAATTCGGCTTTTTCCCCCAATGATTTTTCAATCAAAAGCGGCCCTTTTTTCGTTCCAAAAAGCATACAAAACTCTCACCACACCTCTTCCGGGCTTTTTTCTCGCCTCTCAAAGATTACATGACGCTTTTCCCGATCGAAAATTCAAGTGTTTTTTATCAGAGGTCCAAAAGAGACCGTCTTTTTGTAGTTTAGGACCGCGTATTTTACAAAATACTCGAGTTTGAAGGCTGGAAAAAAAGTTTCAGGGTAGAAGAGTACAGAATTTGTATTTTTCTCAATTAATTTTTGATCGAGACAGTCGAATTACAGCAAATTTGGAGATTAGCACTCGACTTTGTCACGGATTTGATGAGAAAATGATGGAGATGTATTCGAAAAAAAAGTCTTCAGATTTTCTTCAAATTTTGCACACACATCCGGAATAGGCCACATATTAATTCCTGAAAGTTTAAGCTCGCGCTTTTCAGGGAGAATTGAGATATTCAACGATCTTTACGGCCGAGAGAGTATGCGAACACCGGAGAGCGGTCAGAGATTGAACGTTTTTTGTCCGTATCTTTTCCAGTTTCGCATGGAAAAACTTTATTTTTAATGAAACAATTACTTTCTACGGTAGAAATGGATATGAAATTTTGAAGCCAAAGTTTGCCAAAAAGTCTAAAAATTTCGCCGACTTTCGATCCATAACATAAATCTCGCTAGTTTCTGCAAAGCGCGAGCTAGCAGTCTCTCATATATGGCTCGGGACTTCTAAATCTCTCCGCACGAGTCCATCCGAACCCTGGAAATTTAGTCCAAAGTTAAAAGTTGACAAAAAAGGAGGAGACGACAGAGAAAGGCAGAAATTCTTACAAAGAGAAAAGTTGCGCAATGTTATGTCAGATTGCGCAACTTTTAACTTTGTACTAAATTTGCAGGGTTCGGATGGACTCTTGCGGAGAGATTTAGAAGTCCCGAGCCATATATGTCGTCTTATAAAAAATTAGTTCAAATTTATGCCAAGTTTCATCCTCGACCCGATTTTTCGGATCAACAACAGTTGGGGTCAACAAAAAATCTATGAATACAGAACGTTGTTGAGGTACACACCCAAAAAAGGTTATAGGAAGTGCCTACGAAGCCTGGCAAAGCCGTTGGATGGTCGGCGGACGCCCGGCGAAGACTCGGCTGAGACTTGGCAAAGGCTTGCAATACGTCCATTTTTCTGATTTTAGCTGTTACTAACGTTTGTTTTCTTTACCCTGAGTTATTTTAACATATAAAAAACCAAAATTTACGGCAAAAAACAAAGTTCCGGAACTTTAATCTAGATATTATTGATGTGACTACATGTAAAATACCTCAAATAAAATTGCTGCTTAGAAATTCTATTTTCTTTAGATATTCCTTTTTCTCCTTTCGATGACATCCTCGTCATATTGCGAGTGAATCAGAATTGACGTGGTAAACAGATCCATCAATTGAGAGCAAATTTTTGAACCGCTGGAAATTGTGACACGACGGGAATAGAGATGCACTTTAAGCCAATTAACTGCGGCTGTGTCGGAAGTCATAAAAATATCGATGGGTTGCATGAGCGATTACGAGATTCTCATCGCGTGACAACAGTGGGAACGCCGGAACTCCACCTCGCAACTTTTGCGGGCAACCACTTTGCCGGCAGTCGACATTTGCCGATTAGAAATACGATTCGTAATCTACAGTGGAGGACCCAATCCAGTGGCAAAAAACGCACTATTTTGCATCCGGGGAGTATCAAAAAATGTGGCAAAATGCTTCCTTCTCCAAGTGAAAAGAACTCGATTACAAAAGCGAGCCCGTTGTTTTTGTGAGGGAAATTACGCGCCCTTCAAAACGAGATTTTTTCACTTGAAGAGGGATGCATTTTGCCACATTTTTCATACGTCCCAGATGCAAAATGGTATATACGTTTTTTCCGCTGGATGAGGTCCGTCGTTGCATGTCATCGTTGACTATGACTTTTTAACAACGTTGTCTACAAGACAACGGCATAGCTGTCAGGATTGGACCTTTCTCAGCGTTTCAACGCATTCCAGCCACCGCTAGGCTTTCACAAGAAAGAAGCTTCCTGCATAGCTCAAAATCGCCCAGCCAATAGGTATTCTTTTTTATTTTAATGTATGTATGTTCTATAAATTCTAATGTCAATCAATGAAATCTTTGTACAAAATACCCACGTACAACAAAACCTGTCTATAACGGGCAATTTTTGAGTTTGCTGAAAACAACGGAAACCGAAACGAACCTCCACACAGCATCATCCTTTCCAAAACAAACAATTTTCTGGCAACTTGCAATTGGTTGTACAGTCTGTCGGGAAAATAATGAGCGAAATACCGCTGCGCCTGTCGCGTTGCTGAATTGAAAAGCAATTTGATTTTGTCGCGACACAATTCATTCTCTCGACGGCGATGCGATTTTCGATGCCACAAAGTGCTCATTATTTTCCGGACAGACTGATAGGACAGAGGTTCGACTCGTAACTATGTAATTCCATAGACATTCTCAATCTGCGCACACCGCATCGTCCGAGCGTTTCGTCGCATCACTCATGCAGTGGACCACTCCGGTGATGCTGTTTTGGTCGAACAGTTCTGCAAAGACCACGAGGATTACAACGCCATTGGTTGCTACGCAAAGCCGCATCTAAAATGCGGCTCGAAACGCAACAGAACATACGCAAGTTCGCATTCATTACGGCAATCTGCTTGCCGTTCGGATAGCCCTTCTTCCAGTTGAGGGTCACGTTGGCGGGGACGGTTGTGTTGTCGCTGTACACGTACGTGCGGCCGTCGTATGTCACGAGGCCCGAGAATGGACGATACGATTGGCCGGAATATCCTTCAAAATTTGGTTAGAAGATAGCGTGGCGGACCTGATCCAGTGGCAAAAAACCTAGCCTTTTGCATCCGGGAAGTATCAAAAATGTGGCAAAATGCCTCCCTCTTAAAGTGAAAAAACTCCGTTTTGAAGGGCGCTTCATAAAAAGAGCGGGTTCGCTTTTGAAATCGGAGTTATTTCACTTGGAGAGGGAGGTATTTTGCCACACTTTTTGATACTTCCCTGAAGCAAAATGGTACGTCTTCTGCCACTGGACTAGGCCCGTCGCTGTATGTAGAAATATTATTTTTTAGAATAAATTTTGGTACGAAACAACTGAAAAATCATTTTCCACAGAGTAAATCAGGGCTTCACATATCGTATTTGATGCAAGGTGGATCCGGGAAGTATCAAAAAATATCGCAAAACGCCGTCCTCTCCAACTAGAAAAGCCACGCTTTGAAAGGCATCTTTTTCTTCACAAAAAAGCGCTTCTGAAATCGGAGTTTTTTCACTTCGAGAGGGAAGTATTTTGCCGCATTTTTTATACTTCCCGGATGCAAAATGGAACGTTTTTTTGCCGCTGGATAAGGTCCGCCATTGTAAAGGATTCTTCAACAAGCAATATGGTAGGATTACAATCAAACTTTTTCATCAAAAACTTTCGTACAACAAAACCTGCCTATAACGGACAGTTTTTGACGTCCGAAAAGCCAACTTTCGGCGACAAAAAAGTCCGTTTCAGTAAAACCCTTTGACAAAAATCTATTTATATTTTTCAGTCGTTACAGAGGTTCTTTAGAACCTCAAACTCTCAAACTCACCATAAATTTTTCCGTAGAGCATGCTGTTGTTCAAGCGGAGCGGATACCCGCCGGTAAGGACGTTGACGCAAGGATTGCCGACGTTATTCGTAATTTTCATGGATTTTGTGTAGTTATAGCAGTAGATGTTTCCACCGTAATAGAGGCGGTCGGACATGTACGGCTCACAAGTGTGCTTTGCCATCATCATCATTTCTGAAAGGAAATGTTGTGAGGTTGTAACGAATCACAATGGATAAATAAAGAACATGACAGGTGATGAAATTACTGAAGAAGATGGGTATAAACATATTTTTCTGACAAGAAAGGCTTCCAAGTGCGACGCACAGCAGAATGGAGTCAAGTCTGACCCCAATGGGTCAAGTTTTTCTCTCTCGAAAATTCCTGTGAAACGCTCAAATCTTTTTTTCAAATTTGGCACACTAGTCGGGCATAGACCACATATCAATTCCTGAAAGTTTTAGCTCGCGCTTTGCAGGCGCAGCAAAGATATTGAGTGATCTTTGCCGCCGAGAGAGTACGCGAAATGCGGAAGGCGGAGAGAGAAAAAACACCTTTTGACCGTATCTTTGGCAGTGTCGCGCTGAAAAATTTGATTTTTTGTAGCGACATTACTCTCTACAGAAGAAATAAGTATGAAATTTTCCAGTCAAAATTTGCCAAAAAGGTGTCGCATTTTTTGGCGACTTTCAACCTAAAAATCTCGGTCTTTTCTGCAAAGCCCAAGCTTGAAGTCTCGCATGTGTCTTGGAAGAAATTGACTTATTATACATATGTTTGTGCCAAGTTTCATCAAAATTTGAGCGTCGCATTTGGGGTAATTTCCCCTGTTAACCTAAAAAACGAGTCCACTCACGTCCTCTAGTCATAACATAACTGTCGTAATCTTTCGAGTTGAATTTGTCGATCATTATCCCGACTTGCCAATTCTTGTAAGGCCCGGTGTAACTGGTGTTGCTGCTGTCGATTCCATACTGAAACATTACTTACAGTGTTGTGCGAAAAAAGTTTCTTACCGGCTGGTAACAGTAGCCACTCGTGGTGTCATAATTGTAGCTGAATCCCGGGCTGAACGACCCATCTTCGAAAGTGATTTGCATACAGATGTCGTTGGCGAACACTGAAATGGAAACGGTTTAAATTTCGAAATTTTGCAAGCAGGTTTAGATGGTGTTAAACTTATATCGATATTTATTTTTTATTTATTCCTGGGGTATCTTTTTTTACATACAAGGAAGAGCTGTGGGTGCGACGCTCAGATTTTAATCAAGCTTTGTACAGGTTTACATTTATTTTTATCCGTCCCGACTTTTCGGGTCAACACAAAAGAGATCGATACGGGGCGTAGGGCAGGTGGGTACCCAAAAAAAAGGTTGTAGGAATATGCCTACGAGGCCTTGAATAGCCGCTGGATACTCGGCGAAGGCTTGGCGAAGACTTGCAATAAGCTCACCCTCTGTAACCTTAGCTGTTGAACATTCGTTTTCTTTACCCTGAGTAAGTGTAAGTGCCTACAAGGCCCCGTCGGACGCTCGGCGTGCGCTAGGCGAAGGTTCGGCGAACGCTCTGCGGAGACTTGGCGAAGACTTGTAATATGTCCACTTTTTCTAATTTTAGCTGTTACTGACGTTAGTTTTCTTTACCCTGAGTTGTTGTAACATATAAAACATCACAATTTACGTTAAAGAACGAAGATCCGTAGCTTTGATCGCGATATTATTGATGTGAGTACATGAAAAGTACCTGAAAATATGTAACAAACTATCCTAGTATCCTATCAATCTTATTATTTCCACTAACTAAGCCTTCTCCTAGCCTCCCCTATGCATACAAAACTACAAACCGACACGATCCATAGTGTCGTTGACCCGAGCTGTCGCTCACCCAAAAGGTCGCCGCGCCTATTTTTACCTCGCCCCCCCCCCTCCCCCAAAACTCACAGTTTTCCACGATCAGCCGTTCCGCGTCTTCAATGGAAACCCTCGAAAGGCAACGATGAGAGCGAACAAAGTTCACGACAGTGTCCGTGTTCGCATAATACTGAACGCCAATGTAGTACCGGTAGCCGACACAAGCACCCGTCTTTTTGTTATACTTGAGCAATATTACACTTGTATTTTTAGCACCGCGATCGATGCAGTCTTGCAGACTGCCGACCTTTTGCGAGAAGGAGGACTCATAGGTCGTCATTTGATAGGGTATTCGGACATAGTAGAAGATCTGATGAGTGATTGGGATCTGAAAAATGGTCTGAAATACGAAAAGCAATAAATATCAGTTTGTCGGGAAAACAATGAGCACTCTGTCGCAGCGAAAATCGCATCGCCTCAGAGGATATAAAATGTGTTGCGGTAAAGTTTTAACTTAAAAATTGCTTTTTACTTCAACATAATCGGCGCAGCGAAATTGTGCTCATTATTTTCCCGACAGCCTGATATTTCCGTTGCAACAGGAGAGCCAACGCTTACCGTAACGAACAAGACAAAATTTGTAAAACGTTTATTCATAACTCCGCGGAATTGAGGGTCTGCCATGGTTAAAGAGCGCCAAATCGGGGTCATAAATATTAGATATAGGGTCCTTCCAAAAGCAGTTTTGATGTATAGTTTATATCCTCTTCTGCATGGTCCATTGCACTTATGAAGAAGGCAGCTTTCACCTGACACCGTGACTTTTCTCATTTTCTTTTTACAAGGAAAGTACCTCTATGGGGTATCGAGTTACAGGTCGAGACATATATCGAAATAATCGCAACATTTTTCTGATTCAGAATGTGTAAAAATTAGCTGCCTAATTTTGGTTTGTAAGGGTGAAAAAATCCTCTGAACTTTTCTCGCAACACCACACAAATACCCCCTTTTTATATTGGAATTACTAATTAATGTGTAGTATTAGGTGGTAAAAAAGCGTTCCCCGAAATTTTCAGGAAAAGTTATGGAAGTTGTGGAACTTTCTAGAAAGTTGTAAGCTTTTGAATTGGTAAAAAATTGGTCAAAAAGGCATTTATGGGGTGTTGCGAGAAAAGTTCTGAAGAGGGAATGGTCTGAACTTCCCCCAGCGTTTGGGAAAATGACTAATAGTACAGGTGGATAGGGCAGGTCAACTTTGGTAAACAGAGCCATTTTCCAGCTGCGGAATAAGCCCGGCCGACGAGAAAAATCGACCGAAAGTTCCACAAAAATTTCCTCTTTCTCTTCCATCGGAAAAGAAGAGCGATGCCCAATGGTTCGTTTAGCCGAGTGGATAAAACCTCCGCTCGGTATTCTTTTGGGGGTTGGTTCGATTCCGGGATATCGCGAAGGACCATGATAAAGGCTTTGATGAGAAAGATCAAACTCTAACAACCCAAAAAAAAAATTTATTTTGCCTTATTCAAAGTCAAGTCTATCATCAAACCAGTATAACTTCGACGTTCCATCTCTATCCACCTGTACTAGTCATTTTCCCAAACGGTGGGGGAAGTTCAGACCATTCCCTCGTGAGTATTTTTTCATCCTTAAAAACCAAAATTAGGCAGCTAATTGTTGCATATTCTGAATCATGAAATTTTTGCGAATTTTTTGATATATGTCTCGACCTGTAACTCCTACCCCATTGAAGTACTTTCCTTGTTATATAATATGTATTATGGTGTCCCATAATTCTTGTTTATTTTTGGGTTTGAAAATTAAAGTCTCATTGCGAAGGCCTAAATGATTGCACCACTTAATTTTTGGTACTGTTGAAACCGCCATCCCATACACTTACATGCAGCATAAAAATTTGAAATAACAACATTCCCTCCGGGCGAGTACTTGACATTTTTTAAAAATCATGCACCTCTGGGAAGGGCTAGGAAAAAAATTCCGTCCTTTGGCAAGTGACGCTGCACTATTAATTACCATGTGGATATATATTAACGACAACATCTTTAATTTTTATGGCACAGTATTCGAAAGTATTAAGGGTTTATATCCGTGGCAACGCGGTCCGATTCTAATCAAGTGTCAGGCGTGAGCTGCAGAATGTTTTATTCATACAAGCTATAAAAAACGACGAGAGTTTCAAGAACCAATAAAAGGTTCATTGACATTCGTTATTCAGGCGCTCTCTTGTCCCAAAATTTTTCGTGGATTCCATGGCCACACATTCGGATTCGAAACTGATGGCCGTATTTGAGGACAGTTTGACATAACGGCGGAATTGGTTATTTCTATGAAGCGCTCTTGGCTTTGTATTAGCAAAAAATTATAATAGAGCGTTCTGGTATCCCTGATCACCTGAATGCATTACAGTCGCATCCAAACGGTCAACTTAACCTTCAACTACAATCCCAAGGCAACGACTAACTTGTCCTCCAATTACACTGATCACCTCACAAAACCTGACTACGGATTCCAACAACACAGGACAATAGACAGATAGAAATAGGAATGCAATTTTCTGATCAAATCACAACTGCCACAGCGGGGCCAATGCGCTATCTGAAAGTTTGCTGAAAATCATAGGGCGCAGCTCGGAGAATTTGCACGGGCGCAGCTCGCGTCTTGGGCGCAGCTCGAAAACAAGCCGAAACTTAGCTCCGGCGAGCTGCGAAACCTTGTTTTCCGAGCTGCGCCCTACCATTTTCAGCTAACTTTCAGCAAACTTTCAGATAGCGCATTGGCCCCGGGAAATGAGTAATTTTACACTTATTGATTGGACGAGATCCATTCTTTTTATTCCAATTTGTCGGTCCTTCCGTGGGAATATTCAAATTCTCGTGCGAAGTCGTGACAACCCTTCGTTGGCCCCCGACCGCTCGTCGATCACTGAACGCTCTTCGGGCATGCGTTCCGGCCGACGGTCCCTTTCACTCCAATTGTCCAAAGCTAGGAATCTTGCAAATGTCTTATGTCAGAAAGGATTATCCTAAATTTTTAGGAAGTTTCATCAAAATCTGAGCGTCGTACGTCAAACTGAGACAAGCTAAAACGGTCCGGCGAATAGATTGGCAATTTGCCAGGAAAGACGCAAAAAAACCTTTTGTCGGGGGAGAAATGGGGAATTTTTGGGGCGAGAGAGTACGTTTTTGCGCGTCTCTTTTCTCTCTTTCTCTTTTGTCTTCTCTGTGAAATCAAGACGAAGTAAAAGTAAAAAACCGATAGCGAAGGGTCTATTCCGGTCACCGGACTCCTCAGTTTGACGTACCTCGCTCTCGAGAAACTTTCCTTGTAAGTTGCGCTACAAACACCCTCTGTCATGATTTCTATTCTTTGCAGCACATGACCATACAAAAAAATCCGGTTATTACAGAAACTATACATATACGTATCTATACGTATTTATCAAGATGACTCAAAACAAAGAATTAGTTGCCAATTAAGACGGGATCGCTCATACACTTGATGGTCGAATTGAACGGGCCGTTCATATCCTCGAGCTCTAAAAATCCATGATCTCTTGGTCTCAGTCCCTACCGTAATCCGAGTTCATCATCACAAATTTCCCACCCTTTGGATAGCCTGATTTCCAGTTTAGGGAGGTGATGTTAACGCTTGAGCTGGAGCCAACAAAGCTATATCCCGACTGGTCATTCTTGAGTAATCCGGCAAAGGCTGTGGCATTTTGCCATGTGCGATAGCCTACCAATCGATTATAGCGTAAAGATGGCGAACTTACCAAATACATACGTATACAAGAGTGGGTGAATAAACTCGACGGTTTTGCCGCCATCAAAAACGTCCGCACAGTAATTTTTTGAAGTTGTCTCGGATGACGAAAAACTGTCTGTTTCGTTAAAGCAGTATGTCCGATTGTTGTAGATGGTACGTTGACCAACATACGGTTGACATGTGTATCGTGTAATGTTGGTGACTTCTGAAGCGGCCCAAGTAAGCATTTGCCTTAAATTTCCATACTTACGTCCCCTAGTCATGACATAATTCGTCATGTTGCCGCTGGTTTTGTTAACCACTCGACCAACCATCCAGTTCGGGAAGCCGTCGGCGTTAACATACGGCTCCTGTCGTACAGTGGGGGACCTGATCCAGTGGCAAAAAACGTACCATTTTGCAGCCGGGAGGTATCAAAAAAGCAGCAAAATACCTCCCTCTCCAAGTGAAAAAACTCAAATTTTATTTTTAAATTTTATTTTTAGGAAAGGAGTTTTTTAGTTGGAGAGGGAGGCATTTTGCCATATTTTTGATACTTCCCGGATGCAAAATGATACGTTTTTTGCCACTGGATCAGGTCCCTCACTGTATTATGTCCCTTACTTTCCACCACGACTTACCGTAACTTGACAATAACCGGAATTGACATCGTACGTCGTGTTTACACGAGCAGGTAGGTATTTCCCGGAGACATTTGTGCATATACTTTCTCCGTACACTGTAAATGAACGACATTTTTACAATATAAATACTGTGGCGACCTTGTACAACAAATCGCAAAGGACAAAAAAATCATTGGTTATAGAAAGGTTTTGTCCAAGGCAGTTCCTTTTGGCCTCCTAGAATTGGCGTTTAACTCTCAAGTTATTCGTTATTAGACGGCGCTACGTCTTTTCGGGTCAACGACAGTTCGGGTCGACGATACTTTGGGGTGCTTCGATTTGCCGTTGTATGCATGTGGGAGGCTAGGAGAAGGCTTAGTTAGTAGAAATGTTAAGATTGGCCAGGTCTAGGGTAGCTTATCGCCTATTTTGAGGTATTTTACATTTACTCACATCAATAATATCGAGATACAACTTAGAGGTCTGCGTTTTTTTAGAAATATCTTTTGCGATAGTTGTAAAGTTTGGCGCATCGAATAAGCAACTTTGGGACGGACATTCTCCCACGTTTGGCCGGCGCTACGGGGACAAGTTACATGTCAGCCTGCATGTTATCATATCACCCTTACATAGTCACATGATAGAAGTTTCCAGAAAGTTACACAACTTTCATAACTTTTCCCGAAAATTATGGGAATGTTTTTTTACCGACTAATATATTAGTATAGTTAAGAGTTAAAATTAGAAAAGTCATCTTATTGCAAGCCTTCTCCCCCAAGCCTTCGCCGAGTATCCAACGGCTATTCCAGGCCTCGTAGGTACCTCCTAAAATCTTTTTTTTTGAGCCTCCACCTGCCCTGCACCTCGTATCGATCGATTTCGTGTAGACCCAAACTGTCGTCGACCCGAAAAGTCGCGATGCGTTATCGACAGCTTCTTTTTGTCTTTTTGGTCTCAAGTTTCACTGCACTTACTAACATCCACCAAGAGCCGTTCAGTATTAATCGTCGACGTTTTCAAGCATCCCTCCATGCGTACGTAACCGTAGCCCTTTTCGCTCCTGTACGTATACCCACCAATACCGGTATACCCGTAGCACGTCGTTCCCTTGTACATTATGACCTTTACATCATCGCGCTGCGCGGCCAAGTCAACGCAATCCTGTACGCTGGCGGTAGTGTTCCGCATGGCCGGCACCGAGACTTCCATAAAAAAGTGGACTTGAACGTAGAAGAGGGTCTTTGCTCCAGCCGCCGTGGTCAGCTGAGTACTGGTATATTGATACAGTATATGTCTCTTACCAAAAGGGAGAAGAAAGTTAGGGTTGTTGACATTTTCACAGCCAAAGTCGAGGTTTACAGGGAATTGCAACGTTTGTTTTCTAGAAAATAATTGGCTTTCCTACTGTTTTCATGGTTGCTAAGCCATTATAGCGCTACGCAGTGAGGACAACGCCTCATTTTTTTTATTTGACAAGTACACAGTTCCGCCCTTGTCATTTTCGGATCTGCTCAGGCATGGCTCGGCCCAATAATTGCGGCCGGCCGGGCCAAACCCGATTGCCACCTCTACAGTGGGGGACCTGATTCAGTGGCAAAAAACGTAACATTTTGCATCCGGGAAGTATGAAAAATGTGGCAAAATACCTCCTTCTCGAAGTGACAAAACTCCGATTTCAAAAGAGCTCTTTTTGTGAGGGAAAAGGCCCTTCAAAACGGAGTTTTTTCACTTGGAAAGATAAGCATTTTGCCACATTTTTTGACCCTTCCCGGATGCAAAATGTTACATTTTTTGCCACTGGATCAGATCCCCCACCTCTAGGTAAGCCCCTCACAATCTTCGAAACAGTGAAATTCTTGACCTTGTTTTCATTTTTTCGCTCCTTTGGGCTCGTGGTTGCCAATGACAAAACGCATTACTGTCATCGTGCTAAGAATAATGCAAATGTTTCCGTTTTGAAAGTTTCGAACCCTCCGAATTCGCCCTAGAAAGACCACACACGCTGAATTGCAATTTTTCGGGGCGAAAACAGCACATCTCCCGATTATATGCATGCAATTTCAATCAAGGATACGTCATACAAAACTTTGCACAACAACAAGTCGACTCTTAAAAATTTGTTTTTACATACAACCAGAAAACAGCCCGGAATAGCACTTACTTTTTTAAATAGATTTGGAAAAACATACGTAGCTGATTTGCATAAATTATGACGAATTGTCTTTGTGTTTTTAGAAGCCATGGCTAAAAGGGAATTCCGTTTTTTGATCTCTCAAATAGAGAAGAAGCCCTATAGAACCGGCTAGCCCATAAAACTTCATTTTTTTCAAAAAATCCCATTTTTATACCATACTCGCCTTTCCTATCTAAAATCCTCTCATAATGGTCCGTTCGCAAAGTCGCTAGAGTAATTTTCGCGTCATGCACTGTCCGAAAACGGAAGCTCACTTTGCACAGTGGCCAAAAATTACCCAGCGACTATACAAACAGACCAATATGAGAGGACTTAAGACAGAAAAGGTTAGTATAATATAAAAATAGGATTTTTTTGAAAAAAATGAAATTTTATAGGTTAGCCGGTTCTAGGTATGGCTTCTTCTCCATTTTAGAGATCAAACAATGGAACTCCCTTTTAGCCACGGTTTCTAAAAAGACAAAGACAGGTCATCAAGATTTATCCAAATCAGCCACGTATGTTTTTCCAAATCAATCTAAAAAAGGAACTGCTATTTCGGACTGTTTTCTGGTTGTATATCAAAACAACTTTTTTAGAGTCGGCTTGTTGTTGTACACAGTTTTGTATTACGTATCCTTGTTTAATATGTATAAAAATTGGATTTTTTTGAAAAAAAAAATGAAATTTTATTATTTTATTTGCAAAATTTTATGGGATAGCCGGTTCTAGACAGGCTTTCTACCCCGTTTGAGAGATAAATCTTCATCTCAAGTCTTTCATTCAATTAGAAATTTATTTTTTAACGTTAAACATGTTACTATAACATACTAATTTAAAGCTCACAACGAAATAAAGTTGAGTCTCAAATAATAATTGCACTGACCGAGTATTCTTGAGGAGGATCATGACCTGTGGGTTCAGAAGACGTGGGGTTTTTGATGATGTTCGGGGTGGTCGCGGATGTAATCGATAAACTTTTCGACCTTCTCCTGACCGGTGCAGATCTTGTGAACCGCCACCATCAACGGGAACTTGTGGGAGACTTTGCGGGACTCGAGGGTGGAAAAGACTTCGGCGGCGGTTGGTGGGCCTTGGGCGGATTGCCCTTTCAGGAGTTCCAATTCCAGTTCGGCAATAGGCTAAAAAATGGAAATTTACAGTGACGGCCTGATCCAGTGGAAAAAAACGTACCATCTTGCATCCGGGAAGTATCAAAAATGTGGCAAAATACCTCCTTCTCCAAGTGAAAAAACTCCGATTTCAAAAGTGCGCCCGCTTTTTTTGTGAGGGAGCCCTTCAAAACGGAGTTTTTTTCACTTGGAGAAGGAGACATTTTGCCACATTTTTGATACTTCCCGGATGCAAAATGGTACGTTTTTTCCAGTGGATCAGCTCCGTCACTGTATGTAAAAAAAAATTTTTTTTTTTGTAAAAAAATAAATTTCGGGTCGAAAAAACTGAAAATTCATTTCCACAGAGTAAAGCACGCCTTCACATATTGTATTGGAAGCAAAATGGTACGTTTTTTCCACTGGATCAGCTCCGTCACGTATGTAAAAAAAAATTTTTTGTAAAAAAAATAAATTTCGGGTCGAAACAACTTGAAATTTATCTTCCGCAGAGTAAACCACGCCTTCACATATTACACTTGAACTTCCAAATTTAATAAAAACAAATATAACGCTATAAATTTCATACCGTTATATCAAAACCACCTAAAGTAATATAAAAAACTCCAAAATCCACTATTATTTTACTCTCTAAAGGCTCCTAGTCCTCTTATTCCCTTATTTAAAAGGCTAATTTCCCCTTATTACACGTCATTACATCTAACTTCCCCCAAAAAATCAAATTTATCTTACTCTTCCGGTCTTGGCAAACGCCTCGCAAACTTTTCGGTTTCTTCCTCCATAGCAGGTGGTGACCAAGTCCGCGATCCCACAGCTCTCAAAGAAGGTGGTGAACTGACTTCCCGGGTAGAATTCTTCCACGAATCTGATAATTTCCATCAATCCCAAGCGAATGATAGCTGCTTTGGTGTTGTCGCCGTAGCCAAGGCCGTCCGAAAATCCGGCAGCACATGCGACAACGTTCTGAAACGACAAATTTAGGACCTTGAAGCGGGGATTTATCAAGCTGATATCGAAAAATTTCTCACTTTATGATCAATTTATATTGTTTTAGACAAAAACTGTCAAAAAAAAACTAGTCAAACAGCTTGAAATTGTCTAAAAACGTCCCACTCTTACCTTCAAAGCACCGCAAAGTTCCACAGTGTGAGCATCCTTGACCACGTTGACTCTGAAGTAGCTGCAATGGAAGAGAGTTTTCAATTCCTGGCCCAGTTTCGGGTCCTTCGCTCCGATCGTGGCTTCGCAGAAATTCTCATTCGCCACCTCCGGAGCAAGATTAGCACCCATGAGGACGGCGACATCAACGTTGAGCTCGTGCTGGATGATCTCGGAGATCAGGTGAATTCCACCGCCTTCGCCAACGGAAACTCCCTGAAAAAGTGGATTTTCAAATCAAAAAAGACAAAAAATTGTGTCCATAAAACTGTGAGCTATCTATTGAAGGCATTTTCATACTCTTGATCAACGAAAAATATCGAAAAATGTTCAAAATCCAAAAATTTTGACTAAAACAAGGTAATTTTTAACAAAAAATCCAAAAAAAATAATTCTCAAGTAAAAACACCGCCACAAAACCCCTTATAAGCCAGCTTACACCTCCCCCAACCTTCCTCACCTTGATCAGACTAATCGCAATAGCACCGGGCTTCAGCTTTCCCTTCAACGGAGCACAGGTCCTCTTGACGAATTGATGTGGAATGACGAAGATCAGGACGTCCGAATCCTTGCAGCTTTCCACCAAATCAGTGACGGCTCTCACGTTGGAGGGAAGGATCTTTCCAGGGAGGTATTTCACGTTTTCATGGCGAGTATTTATGATCTCCGAGAGCTTACCACCTTCCACCTGTTCCTCATACACGTACATGACAACATCGGGATCGTAGATGGCCGGGTTCGCTTTCGTGGTCTCACCAACAATTCGAGCAATAGCTGAGCCCCTGAAATTATCGGTATTGTTCGATAAATTGAGGAAAACGCAGTTATTTTCTTTGTGTCTCCATCCGGAAGTAAGAACCGCAAAAAAACTACCCGTTTCCGGTGTTCGTTTCCACTCTCAACATAAAATCAAGGTAAAACAGAGTCCTCGGTCCATGATCTAGCTATAGAAATTATATGCTACCGAAAAATTGGACAAAATATTCAAGTTATTCTCGAAAATCATAGGCCTTCCTTGAACAATATAAAATTGGTCAAAACTCGCTGTGGTCAAAAATATATTCAAATTTCTTTCTGTCCATCAAAACTAGGTCTAATTTCCCGCGTCTTCAGAAAAAAATCGCAAGGTTTTTCACCCTCTCTCCAAAAATTATATTATCTATGGAACGTCTGAGCAAACAACAAAAGAAAACCGCTAAACCCACAGGCGCTCTTCTTTCTATCTCTCTTCGGGTTGAGCCTAAAAACGAAAACAACAAATATCGAGTAATTCTTACCAGTTTCCGGAGCCGACGATGGTAACCTTCTTGGGCATGATGTGCGCAAATCGAAAGGACTGATGGAGAAGTCTTGGTGAAGGTCGCGAAGCGAAAGTTGCGGCGAAAACGCGATGAGTGAGGCGAAAAATGTTTTCACACAACTCCTGTCTTCGTGGCCACAGGCAAAAAAAATATTTTTTGGCCTGTGACAGAATGCCAAAATGTTTTCGTGGCGGGACGAGGGCAAACTGTAAACAATAATGGAATTTGAATATTTTGTAAGAAATAACACGATGTTATAGTCGTTAATACACATCTAGTTATTTTCCAAACTAAGTATTTACTAAAATTCGTCTATTTACATCAAAAATTATATTGTTTTAGTCCAATAGACACTACAATACAATATAATTTAAATTTACAACTGGTTGGCCGGAAAAATCGCTAATTTCGTTAAATTCACACACCAACAAGTCTTATTCTCCGATTCTTTGCGGTCAGCAGACCGTGTAATTTGTTTACTTGTCATAATTTTATTCAAGCCTTTTCAAAAGGCCACTTTATTGGGAATTATACCAAATCTCGCTCCTCTGGGTAAATTTCGTGCCAATATTTTGTTGCATGGAATGTCAGAGGCATATTGGTTACATTGTTGTCATCTATGAGACATTTTCAAAGTTGTTTTGCAAAGATTTTTTGGGGTTTTTGAGACCAAGTGTAATATCAGATGTCTTTGAAAAATTGGTTGTAACTCTGTCCTATGGCAATATTTTTGTGATCTGTAAATTTCAGCCTATACTAGATAGAATTATTCTTCGATGGTGAAAATTTTGTAGTTTTCGACCGGTCCAGCTTCCAGCATTCCCCATTTTTCTCCAGTGGTCTCCCCTTGCCATATCTTTAAATTCCGACTTGATAGCCCTCATAAATACATCTCTTTCCCTCTGAATTCGAAGATTCCACTCATTCCGAATCCTTTCTTCAATTTGTCAGAGTTATTTTCGAACAAAAAAATGGTGAGATTAAGAGCTATGTACGTGACGGGCCGGACTTCGGCCAAAAACAGTTGCCGTTGGGGCCTCGAGGGCTTTTAATTTAATCAGCTTGATCTTTTTCGGTTCTTCTTATCAAAAACGCTGCCCCAGCGAACGGCCCTATCTGTAGTGTCTTCGCACTTTCTGGGGGGATTACTGGAGGGCTTGTAGAGATATAGTGTGATAGATCGTGGCTGAGGTGAACTTGATGAACCTCGCGTTGGATTTGGGGATTTTATGGGCTTGGAATTGGGGTATGAGCAATTTCAGGCGGTTTTATGGGAATCACAGCCTTGTTTTAATCGTAAAGCTTTTAGAAATTAGGATACAAACAAGACTAATGCCCTAAAAATGCTTTTCAAGTTAATGTCATCAATTTTTTTTCAAATTTTGTTACTTCTATTTTCAAGCCATCAACTATCAAATTTCCCCCAAAAAATTGATTTTTCCTCATTTTTACCTTATTTTACACAATTTTAAAACGATCTTTGTCCATTTACCTAACCAACCACAACCTTATTGCTTCATAAACAACCATCATTTGTTCTGCATCCCCTAAATAATATTTTCAAGCTGCATTTTGACATGTTCCTGTCATTCTCAGCGCCATCAAGCGGCCTGCAAAATATTTGTTGTCTCTCGGTTCAAGGTCCGTTCATATTGGGTTACTAGCGAATGCCTGAAGGCGGAAATTCATACATATACTATTTAGTTGTTGATAGGACCCTGAAATGGGCTATAGGCAGTAAAAGTGATTTCGTAATTTTTGAAGGACTTTTATTGGGTAATAACGAGTGGCTGGGAATTTTGAGGACCTTTTCTAGAGGGCACAGCATAAGATTCTGGTGGATATAAGCCGTGGAACTTGTAAACCTATGTGTGTCCAGAAAATCCGTCACGATGACAACCGTTTAAAATGTGGCAGTAGTATAAAAACCGGCTCTATATGCCCATGAGTACTTCCTACAGTAGGGGACCTGATCCAGTGGCAAAAAACGTACCATTTTAAATCCGGGAAATATCAAAAATGTGGCAAAATACCTCCCTCTTCGAGTGAAAAAATTTCGTTTTGAAGGTCGCGCCCTTTTTTACGAAAATAGAATCTGACTTGGAAACGGAGGTATTTTGCCACATTTTTTGATGCTTCCTGGATGCAAAATGGAACGTTTTTGGCCACTGAACCAGGTTCACCACAGTAGAGCACCCACAAAAAAATTAAGCTCAAAACTTTTGCAATAGTCGGTTTGGATGACGGATTTTCTGGATTTTTTCCGTGGCGATAACTTTCTCAACGCCCAAAAGTTCTTGGCATGCTCTAGGGAGGACTCCTAGTCAAGTACAGCCGTTTTTTAAACCACTGGACGATTTTTTAACGGGTGTCATCATGACACATTTTATGACATATATATATATATGTCATTTTTTGGCTTTTTTACTCCATTTCATGTGTAGTGTATGAAGATGTCCGCAAAAATGCTGTTTGGCCCACTCTAAATTATCGATTTACGAACAAAATGCGCCTCCCGTCTGACCGGCTCTCTCAATTTTGCGCACTCTCTCAAAAACACTGTAACTCTCGGCGGTCTTCTAAAAGATCAGGATTATCAAGAGAGTGATGACCTTCCAAAGGTCGAAATTTTATTTGCTAGGCCATAAATTTGTCGGCAATTAATTCATAAAGCCCTCCGGCACGAGTCCGTCCCGGATTATAAGCGGAAAGAGCAAAAAGTTGAGGAAAAAAGTTGTTTGTTAGCCACGTCCTTTCCGGCTAATTGTCCGCTCGATTTGAAGAGGCCGATCATTTATTTCGAGGTCCGATCCAGGTGAGAGAAGATGTTATCACGTGATAATGGGGCAAATGAATGGCAAGACTTCTCGCCAAATCCGGCATCGCGACTCTGGCGGGCAGCCCACATATTCTTATTAGAATTGCGATTTTCCAACCGTAATCTGCGTAGTATGATAGAAATTTTACATTGACAACACCCTGGAACTGATAAGTACGCGAATCTATTGAATTCATCCACCGCTTTCAAAGTCAGCGGAGTTTTTTTCAAAAAATGGTTCTTGAACCTATACATGCCTCTAATTATAACCTTATGGTAGTTATTAAAGTCGCTTATACACCTGGAAACTAAATTCGCAACGTCTAGCTGCCAAATCCTTTCCTGTTGTGAGCAAATGTTGACTGATTTCCAGTTATTTTCTGTGGTTCTTCTTGCTGCGCGCAAAATGGTTGCCCACAAGGTGGGACCTCCCTAAATACTTGAGATTCTTTTATTTTTACAGACAATCTAGTACTAGTCGTTCCAGGAAGTGCGTAGACTTTTTTCGGCCTGTTTTCGGACCGCACAGTGCTTGCGCGACGCAACCCTTTTCGAAACATTTTGCTCTGTGCAATTTCGCCAAGTGCCGAAAGGAGGCTCCTTGGGTTGCCGTGCACTGTACTTGACTCAATTTTAGATTAGGCTTGTTAACGAATATGCCGGATCTTTAACTTGCGCTTTTCAGAAACAACAAATTTTCAGACGCAATTTCATGAAAATCGGGCCTTTTTATCCGTTTTCTTTGGATTTTACTGATTAGAATTAGCCTAGGTTTTTGTCACGTTCGTAGTTTACATTTTTTCCAATGCTCTTTTTCTAATTTTTTTTAACAACAGTGTAGACCGTGTTCCGTTCCAAGCGCTCTCCCCATTTTCTGTGCTCTCTCGTCTGTACGAAAAATGAGTCAAAGCCTCACATCGCAGTTGTTTCTGAAAAGTGCAAACTAATATTTTGTGTAACTTGATATATAGCCTTCATAGTCAAGTTGGCGAAATTTGAGGCAAATCTGAGATTTGCACTTCAAGCACTTTGCTTTTACATAACCTTTCAATAATATTTACAAGGGAAGTGCGCCAAGTGCAACGCTCAGATTTTCTTTAAAATTTGCCCACATGTCAGGCATAGGTCACGTATTAATTCTTGAAAGTTTTAGGTCGCGCTTTGCAGGGAGAGCCGAGATATGGAACGATCTTTGTGGCCAAGAGAGCATGCGAAATACGGAGAACGGGCAGAGAGAAAAACGCTTTTTGGCCATAACTTTGCTAGTTTCGAGGGGAAAAAGTTGATTTTTCGTGGAAACATTACTCTTTACCTTAGAAATAGCTATGAAACTTTTAATGAGAAAAATTCGCAAAAAAGTGGCAATTTTTTTCAATTTTCTTACCAAAAATCTCGATTGTTTCAGCTAGAAGTCTCGCATATGTCTTGAAAAAACAGTTACTCCCTTGTAAAGCACATATCCCAGCCCTTGGCCTGCGGTGTGCAAAAAAAACGGGATTTTTACTCCGAAAAATTGGGAAATACTGGACATTTTTTACGATTTTAATCATGGAAAATCCATGAGTTATTTTACAGGTGAAGTACCCCAAGTTCGACCCTCAGATTTTGATGAAAATTGCCACAAAGTTCGAATAATTTTTTCTAGGACATTGACCTTTTCCTTTGGCATTTATTTCATTCTTCCTTCCGCCTATGACTAACACTTATTCCCGTGTTATTTCCGCAATCTCCCGCTTATTTACATGTGTTCCCTTTCCGCTATTATCTCATTCTCTCAACAACTCATTCCTTACTTCGGAACAAAAGCCCTAAATTGAGGGAGTTGGAATGGGATGGCACAGCTGTTTTGTTCCCACCATTTAGGAGCCTCAGGGGCCGGTCGAGTGGGTTAATGAGAGAGGAGCGGGCTTCATCCGCGTCCTTTATGGGGTTGTTACAGTAATTTTTATGGAGATCGGAGAAGATCGGCGGGATCATAAGATTTAGGGGGTATATTTGGTTGGTGAAAAAGCTGGAATTTTGATGATTTTGATGACACTTAGATTGTGGCTTAGGGTAGATCTTTCTACTAGTTGTAGCCAGAGAATGCCACGGCTCCGGAGCTGGCTCTTGGCTCCGGCTCTGAGCGGCTCCGGCTCCGTGCCGGGAGCCAGAGCCGGAGCCGGGTGCGGCTCCGGCTCCCGAGCCCGAACTCGGAGTCAGGCTTCTCAGCGTCCAGAAAAGTAAAAATTTCATGATCTTATTAAACCAAACTGCTTGAAAAATATGGGAAATGATGTGTTGCATACGAGTTGCCTTCAAAAATGTTGGATTTATGATCTCTGACACTAATAGCTTTTATTTTTGGGAAATATTTTAAAATTTTTTTTTGCACGGGAGCCGGGATTCGGAGCCGGAGACCTTTTTAATTTTTTATGGGAGCCGGGAGCCGGAGCTGGAGCCGCAAATTTGGCCTCGGCTCCGGCTCTGGGAGCAAAGAGCCGGAGCCGAAATTTTGAGCGTGGCAATCTCTGGTTGTAGCCCGTCAATTCAGCGTCGTTGAAGCTATTTTTTGACCAGAAATTTTGGCTGTTTTTTTTGGCTAGCGCGAACAAAATCTATCTTTCTGTTTCGAAGGTTAGAAATCGAGGCCCCTCTGTTTGACATTCAAAAAAAACATGTTAACCAAGCGATATAGTCATGAAAGTAAACCACTTAGGACAAAAAAATGCGGAGAATTTAATGGTGAGAAAATTATTTGGCTACACCTCAAGGTTTTCGCTGCAGGACCCATGGAAAAAGGTTTCCATTTTTTGGGCTTCCTGTAAACTTTTCTTGATTTTTCAAGTCCAATTTTGTCTTCTAAAGATTCGTCCGACAGAATTTTGATATCCAACAATAAAATCTTTTGGTTAATCAATAATGTGTGAACGAAACGTCTAAGCGGTTCATGAAATGCGCTGGATTCAAGTTTAAAGGGACTTTAACCCGTCTTTTTTTCAAATTTTAAGGCTAAGCAAATTCCTGCAAATCCTAAACATCTTCACAGTAACGATAATGAAAATTTAACACTCAGGGAGGTAGCTGATCAAAAATTATATAGAGAGGAAAGTTTTGGAAGGGGCATTTTCCCCCTCCCTCTAGCTAGGCCCCTGTTAACATCCAGTGTTTTCAATTTTTTCAAAAATTCAATTTAACATATCCATCTGTCGGGAAAATAATGACCACTCTTATGCGGCGTCAGCCATGTTGCTAAAGCGAAAAGCAATTTGATTTTGCCGCGACATAATTCATTTTCTCGCGATTTTCGACCCCACAAGACGCTCATTATTTTCCCGACAGACTGATTGGAAGTCTGGCGGGAATGACCTTGGCGATGACGCCGAAAACAAAACCCTCTATCCATCTACCTGTCTTCTCTCTAATTTTAGTGTGATTGATTTTATTAGGACCGACCGACAAATTGGCCAAAAATAATATATAAGATAACCCCTCTGATCTTCGAATTCGCGGAAAGCAGCGGAATAAGGTGACTGTAAGAACTCGGGGTAAAAATTCCTTATTTTGGCCACAACTTATAACTTTGCGGAAACTGGTCGGAATTAGCCCAAATTTAACGTGCACGCTCAATTCATCGTTGACAATGCCCGGACAGTGGATTTAGTTAGCAAGGTACCTTCTTTTTTACGTACCACCTTACCCTTCAAAAACGGCTGCAGCCTGTGATTTTACACTTTATACAATGAAACCTGTCCGTAACTAAACTTATTGCCTCCGTATGGAACTAAATGAGTCGTCACAGCCTTCGTAGGTACCCATAAAACTATAGAGCTATTATAGTAATTCAGTGCCAGCTAGGTTGAAGCGTTTTTTCCTAACTTCAGTGCCCAAGCTTGGGCGCAGTTCGCGGAGTACCTTTGTTGTGGCCAAAATAAGGAACTTTTTCCGAACTTGGAAAGTTTATAGATTGATTTGTGGGCCAGCTAGATTGAAGATACGTATCAGTCTGTCGGGAAAATAATGAGCACTCTATGGCATCGAAAATCGCATCGCCGCGGAGGAAATGAATTGTGTCGCAGTAAAATTAAATTGTTTTTCACTTCAGCGACGCCATCGGCGCAGGATTGAGCCCCAACTCTCCCCCCTTTTCTGAACTCTCCCCCAATCCGAACTCTCCCTCTTTTTGAACACTCCCCTCATTTTGAAAATTGAAAAAGCGAAGTGAAATTTTAAATTGAGAAAAATTTGATTTTGCCGCGATACAATTCATTTTATCAATGCGATTTTCGATGTTACATTGCGCTTATTACTTTCCCGACAGACTGGCATAGATAAAATTTGAAGCAAGTCTGAACGTTTCTTTGCAGCGAAATTCGCATTTTGCCAAAATATTTTTTTCGTATAACATGTCGCCTTCCCCCACTTTTATTGTCGCTTCGATTTCAATTACTTTCAAATTGAAAATCACTGTCCGAACATTTAGAGACGATACATGTGTTATATACGGCGATGAAAGCGCCGTGCTTCCGTGGCGCAATCGGTTAGCGCGTTCGGCTGTTAACCGAAAGGTTGGTGGTTCGAGTCCACCCGGGAGCGAGTACTTTTTTCGACTTTTTCACTTTTTGCGACCAAATTTACTATGCAACAGTTGCTTTACACACTGCCTCAACAACGTTTTTGTCCACTGTGACAACGTTCTTTGTACATTTTGCTCTTTTTTATCATGATCTCTCATTAATCTCTTCGCCTTCCCCGAAATCCGAAACTTCTGGGATTTCACCATAATTCCATAAAAAAATTTCCTAAATGTTACGAGTATTTCCTTGTGTCCTGACTAGCACCTGAAATCCAACACTTTGTTGACACTTGTATACATTCTTTATTAATTATACATTCAAAAAAGGGGGTCGAGATGGGTGTTTATGAACATGGGTATGTAGTCTCGAGGGCACTCTTAAGAAGTGGGTGGGAGCGTTATATTTCTGTTTGACAGCTTTTTTTCGAGGAGCAAAAGCATAATAAATAAAGATGAAGTTTTGAATAAATAGAAAACTTTCTTTTTTTTTTGAAAAATCATGTTTTCAACCGGCAAGTTCTCCAATATGCCCCAAAAAAGTAAAGTCTTTATGGTTCCTGAAGATTGTGAGCTACAAATGCTCGCCTTGCAAACGACCAAAATTTTTGAATGAATGAAGAAAATATATGACACATTTTCCCTTTTACACTTACATTTTTTACGCACCTTGCCATAAAACCTTCTGTATCTGCAGTGGCAAAAAACGTACCATTTTGCATCCGGGAAGTATCAAAAAAAGTGGCAAAATGCCTCCCTCTCCAACAAAAAAAACTTCGTTTTGAAGGGCCCTCACAAAAAGAGCGGGCGGGCTTTTGAAATCGAAGTTTTTTCACTTGCAGAGGAAGTTATTTTGCCACATTTTTTGATGCTTCCCGGATGCAAAATGATAAGTTTTTCCCCACTGGATCAGGTCGACCACTGTAGTTCTACCACAAAGGACAGTATCTCCACTAAAAAAATATTTTCTTCCAAAGGAAATTGGCAAATGAATGGCCAAAAAGTGTGCTTCTCTGCAGTATGTCCATTTTTTCGAACTTTTGCTACGGTGACGGACCTGGTCCAGTGGCAAAAAACGTACCATTTTGCATTCGGTAAGCAACAAAAATGTGGCAAAATGATTCCCTCTCCAAGTAAAAAAAACTTTGTTTTGAAGGGCTTCCGCTCGCAAAAAGAGCGGGTGCCCTTTTGGAAACGGAGAGGCATTTTGCCACATTTTTTGATGCTTCCTGGATGCAAAATGGTACTTTGAAATCTGAATTTTTTCACTTGGAGAAGGAGGTATTTTGCCACATTTTTTGATGCTTCCTGGATGCAAAATGGTACTTTTTTGCCACTGGAAAAGTCCCCCACTGTACCTTGACTAGTACCTTGACTCTGACGAGATGTTGAGGCCTTCCCCACTTCTCAACGATGTCCGTTATTGTTTCCAATCTTGTTTTATACCCGCCCTCCGCGTTTCGGGTGCTCTCTCGGTAGTTGAATATCTCAGTCATCCCTGAAAAGCGCGAGCTAAAACTTTCAGGAATTGACATATGGTCTTTGGCAGGCGTGTGTACAAAATGCAAAGAAAATCAGAGCGTCGCAGTACTTCCATTGTTGGGGTTTCATCAGGGACTTCACTTGCTTCATTAATCATTTTTTCGCAGGACTTCAAGTATTAGGTTTAGAAGTATGGCTTTCTCGTTTTTTGCGGCTCATAATTTAAACCAAAACAAAAAACTTTACACTAAAGCTTATTTAATTACTATTACCACTACTAACTATGACATTTTTCAACAATTAGACCAACTTTTGAATACCATCAGTGAAGGCGTTTTTTTGTTTCGAGGCGATTTAGTCAACGGGCCAATTTTTAACATTTTTGTATTCAACGAAGCGTTGCGGCCTCAGATCGGGTGCGATCGATCGAAACAAGTGTTAGTACGAAAGTACGGTGTCCGGAGAGTATAGCGGGTGCGGAAACACCTCCCACCTCCGCGGTTCTAGGGTGTTTTCGACCGAGTTTTCAACATGGGGCTTGACGGGGCTTGACGTCTACCATATGAGACATATATCAGTAGATAGCGTTTTCAGCATTCTTTCAGATGTCCTAAACAGAAATTGCGAAATTATATCTCAACCTGTGAAAAACGCAAAACAAAAAAGTCATACTTCTAGACCTAATAAAAGATTTTTTTTTGATGACTCAAGCTTGCTATTAGACCAGTTATCAAACTTTTTTGATGGCGGCCAAAATCGTTCCGAAAGGTTCATTTCTCTCCTTTCCGCCTCTTTGATATCCCAGCGATGTGAGGTGATCGCGGATTAAAATAGAACCACATTAATTTCGATCACTCAATTGATGTGTTTTCGGCTCTGATATCATTTCCGTCGAATTTGATCTGATTTTTTTTGATGACAAGAAAAAATTAATCATGATCGAATTGGACTGAAAACTTTTAAAAAAAACTAGTAATGATAAGTGTAATTGAGACCGAGCTGGTGGTATAGAGAGTTTAAAAATGATCCAAAAAAGGAAGTGCTGAAGCTATTCTTTGAAGTGTGTATTGGACGGCGAAAGTGCGAAAATCTAATTATTTGGTAAGAAACGTGGGAAAAAGAAACTTTGTTTGCGTGTTCAAGGGTACAAAAAAATTGTCTGAGCCCATCTATTTCTTAACTTAATATAAACAAAAAAAGTTTTTATGGCATATAAATTTTAGCTCGCGTCTTTTTTTATGGATCAGTCTGCCGAGGAAAATTCACTTTTCACTGTGAAATTTGTTGATTTTTGCACCGTGAAATAGGCTTTTTCGTTGTGTCATTTGTGACTTTTCTTGAACACTGTATGTCGCCAAAATTACTCCAGCAACCTTGCGAACGGACTAGTATTTTTTGTTTCTAGTTCGTCAGTAGACTACGCACACAGTGACGCACCTGATCCAGTGGCAAAAAACGTGTCATTTTGCATCCAGGAAGTATCAAAAATGTGGCAAAATACTTCCCTCTCCAAGGGAAAAAACTTTGTTTTAAAGGGCTTCGCTCACAAAACGATCGGGTGCGTTTTTGAAAGCTGAGTTTTTTCACTTGGAGAGGGAGGTATTTTGCCATATTTTTTGATACTTCCCGGATGCAAAATGGTACTTTTTTGCCACTGGATTACATCCGTCACTGTAAAGAATTCTCCTACGAGCAATGACAATATTGCAGTCTGGCATTTTTCATCAAAAACTATTGTGAAATCGGAGTTTTCTCACTTGGAGAGGGAGGTATTTTGCCACACTTCTCATACTTCCCTGATGCAAAATGGTACTTTTTTGCCACTGGATCAGGTCTCCCACTGTACTAGGCATGGCTCCGGGCCGGGCTTTGCAAAATTTTCCGGCCCGGGCCGGGCCGACTAATTTCTCGGCCCGACTCCGGGCTTCGATTTTTAGGCCCGGCCCGGCCCGGGCCGGCCCGGTTTTTTTGAAACCTATGTTTTGCCCGGAAAAAAGGAAAAAATATGCTTTTTCGATAGAATTTTTCATTTTTTCGAACACAATGCTGATAGCGAATGTAAAGTGACCTTATGTACCTAGGTTTTGCTAAATTTTTCTTTACATTTTGCGAAAATTTGCCATAATTTTCCTTTCATTTCCCGCTTTCTTTCTTTCCAAACTAGTGTAAAAATTTTCCGGGCCGAACCGGGCCGGGCTTTCCAAATTTTCCAAGCCCGGGCCCGGGGCGGGCTTGGAGATTCAAGCCCGGGCCTGCGGCCCGGGCCGGGCCGGGCCGGGCTGGCCCGGTTTGCAGCCATGCTTACACTGTACTTTGACTCTCATGAGATGTTGAGGCCTCAGCTAATTCCCAACGATATCCGTTATCCGTTTCCAATCTTGTTTTATACCCTCCAGACAAGGTCCTTCGAAATTCCCGGCTACCTAATTGTTATTACCCAATAAAAGTCCTCCACAACCGCTTTTACTGCCCTCAATGGACCTCCAGGAATCTACAAAAAAAATTATGAATATGTGCGCGCAGGGATTTCGTCAGCTTTGTAATCCGAATGGACTTTGAAAATGATGCAAAGAAATATTTTTTGCGGCCCAATTGTTAATGTTGACAAAGACGGAGATGGGTTAAATTTGGCTCGAAAACAGTATCTAGTGCATGCAGAATGAGTTACTCCTATATATAGTATATACTTTTTTGTATTTTTTCTGCTTGAAAAAGTCTAAAATCCCTTGAATTTTTCAAAAATCTATTTGAATTTTCGATTTTTTGACTTCAAAACGCAAAATAATAAAAATGGCTTTTCGGGTCGATGAGAGTTCGGGTCATTACAAAATCGATGGATACGGGGCGTAGAGTAGGTACACACCCCAAAAAAAAGATTGTAGGAAGTGTCTACGAATTTTTCCTTTCGGTCGTCGCAAAGGTTTGGACCAGGGCAACAAAAAGTTGCATTTCTTTAACACTGAGTACGGTGAAGCCATGATAATTTGAGAAAATAATCGTGATTCTCTGCTGATTCTAACGATGTGCTATTCCAATATCAGCGCTGTGTTTAAGGCCCTGAGGGCAGTTTTTAAGAAAATTTCCAAAATTTTCGTGACTATGCTGTTGGATCGTCGGCGGAGGCTCGGCGAA